TCCCTGGCAACAGCCTGGGGAACCACCGGCGCCTACTCGCCCATGCAGTTAGTTCACTCTGCCCACGTGCCTCATAGGTGGTGCATTCAAACAATGAAAAATGACTTTTCTTGATGCGAATGGGCTGTAAAGGCGTTGATAGACCGGCAAGTAGCCCAGTTCTCTATTTTCATAAAGCTGAGTCATCTCGCTTCTTTCCCGAAGCCGCAACAACCCAAGCCAGTGGCATAGAAAAAGAAAAGACTCATCGCAGCTTTTCCTAAACTCATGGAAAAGGCGGGCAGGGATGAGGTAAACGTCAGGTCATGTCTTAGGAACAGTGGAGAGACAAACACAGAGGTGGCTTAGTGGGTTATCAACCACTTCGAAGGGCGTTAGACCAGTGACACGACGGCGTGGTGTTGCTCCAGAGGTGGGGAGGCGGGGGTGAAATCTGTCAAAACACAAGCCCTATTGAAGTGCCAAGCACCATCCTTTGAAAAAAAAAGAGATCTAAAAAGTGGAATAAACATTGAGCTGGCTTGTCACGCTGATTGATTGGCTCGAGGCTGCACGGAAGATGCATTTCAGGCGCCAGTTACTTTTTATGCAAGAGAATGCCAAAACACGGTGTTCACGCAGCTGTCAGGTGATTAAAAAACTTGACGAGAAACTTCAAGGCCTGTCAATTTATGGCTCTTCACATCTGTAGTGGTGACTGAATGACTGACTCACCGACTGTCTGACTAGTTGTCTGGCTGGCCGACCGACTGACCACCCGGTGGAGCCTTTGTTTGGCCGATGCAAATGTTGTTGGCTGTGACCATCCAGGCGATCCACTCACTACCCACACCACACCCCTAGGGCAGGCACCACTTCTTCCCCGAAAGACTAGTCCTGCTCTCCATGTGTTCCTCCTTCAGAAGTGGACCGGCTTAGGCATGGCGAGCCAATGCAAGACCTCTTCCAACTTATCGCTAACCTGACCGATAAAGAGATTTGGTCCTCACTTGCGATGTGAGTAATGGCGGAAGAGAGGACAAAAGCGAAAGGGAAACAACACCCCATCCACTCCAGCTCGCCCTCTCTCATTTCCTCAATGATGCGGTTGTCGTATTTCACAGAGTCTTATTTATCTCCTATATCGGTCAATCGGTCACATGCAAAAACAGCCAGTCAAAATAAAATTGAGGTGGCATTAGTCAAATTTGTCCTACCAACTGAGGAGGAAGGAGCTTAGAGAAACCTTGTGCGCCTTGTTAAGAGGGAATGGTAGGTTGCCAAGCTAATCAGGCCAGGTCATCTCTCCCGCATGCTATTGCACTACTTGTTGCTTGTACCATAAGGCCGTTTTGGCTTGTCCGACCTCCGCCTATGTGTCCCACCTCTCCGATTTGTGATAAACATCCTTGCCAGGTGGACCAGAATGGGAGGCTGTTTATCAGCGACACATGTGCTGGATGATGTGGAATGCTAAATGGGCGTAGACATGACAAACACATGGGCGGTGGCTAAGGTCATACCAGAACTTTAGGTCTAGAGCGTCTCGTCGAGCCGTCGAGATTGATGACACGGCTACACCTCTCCCAATGCCTGCATCCAGAGTCAAGAGATGGTAGGACTTGTGGTGAGCATTACGAGTATTTCCACAATTGGCTAAGACAAAGGGCATTTCTGACTAGTCAGAAAAGCATTTACAGGTGATGACGCGTTCCTCCAGCGTGGGTGGTTGCATTCAACACGCCTGAATCTGCTCCTTACCACTAGCTCTGTCAGAAAAATCACCGCCTTAGACCAATGCGATGTTTACTGGAAGCAGGGACTGTGTGTTTAGGCACAGACACCGTCGAGCTCGCTTTGAGTTTGAGCAGCTACGAGATAGAGGCGCCAGAATGGAGGCCTGCAGTGCCAACAGCTTTCGTACACCTGGGAACGCGATACTCACGTGCTTGCCCACCGTTTGTAGTGCTGATTCAAAAAAGGGGATAGGTCGGATGGTTGATGCCATTTCCACTTGTTTGTGGCAATTTGATCGACCTTGCTCATGATGACGACGGTGTCTCCGTGCCACATCGACCATTCATCAGCAGAAAAGTTGCCGCAGAGCATTCTGGGAGAGAGGACTCGCAGACCCTTTTAAAACTTCAAAGGTGAAACCCCTTTTCCAAGGTCAAAGTCATTCCTTGCATCCTTCTAGATGGGCGCGTTGTGCTACCGCATATCGCACCTCCTCCAAACGCTCTTCAGCAGCCAATTTGAGGCGAAACCAACTCCTTTGCAGCCACAGCTTCGTAAAGTAGATAGATCAGTGTTTCTGATGGATATGACAAACCTCTAGCACCTTTGAAACAACACTACTTTTGATCACCGTGAGGGGCCATGACCTATCTTTCCACTTAACCCCAGTTTGTGGAAGATCTATCGCTGTCTGATGTCAGCTATTTCATCAAGATTTCAAAAATCCCCTTTCTCCATTTCGAACTTGTTTGAAAAAGCTAGAAAATAAGAGATACAAACAAGCGCCATGACAGGACGAATGACGGGGAAAGCCCTAACAGGTCCCACCTGGCTGACTGGTGTGACGGGACACGTGAAGTAGGCGACTGCTTCACCGCTTTATTGCCCCCACACATACATCGCTATGGTTAATCAAAAAAGGCAAATCAACCATCACTGACTAATTCTTTTACTGCTATCACATGCCAACGACACTGCCACCTCCCAAATGACCAACAAGCATCCCGCCTCCGATTCAACGCCTCTGCGAGGTGAGGCTGAGTGGCGTGAGAGGGGGATGGGAATAAAGCACGCAGGCGTGGGTGTAATTACCCCCAAGATGGTAACAATCAGGCAAAAATTTGGTGTGGATGAGTGAAATGGACTAATAATAGGATCACCTTATTTTAACTATATACAGCCAACGTCACGTATTTGTGACACAAGTTCCCTCCTGCGGTTTTAAGCCACCTAGCTTTGCTTCACTACAGTGACAAAAGCCTTAACTGCTTTGAGACAGCTCTCTCCTTCTCGCCCTGTCAATAACCATGGAAGGGGTATGGATTCCGTTTCCAAGCCCGCCATTACAGTAGCCATTCCTTTAGTGTCTCCCCTGCCCTTAAAGCGTTCAGTGCTTGCATGTCGACCTCTTCTGACAGGTGACAGGTGACAGAGTACCTAGGTACTCTTTCAACGCTAAGATAACCTAAAAAACGTTGCTGAACGTTCCACTGATATGGTGTTACACCACCCTTAGGTAATAGAAGAAACTCAGGGAGCCTGCAAATCAGATTGTAAAGTCTTTACCTCCTGTTAAGAAGGGATTTATCCTTTTTGACTGCTTTACACTCGTAGAGTCAGACACAATGGCGGTAGGTGGGTAGCACAAGTATGGCAATCAGTTGTCAAAAAATGTACAAACTCCTTCTCCTCATCTCTTCCATTCCTTACTTTGCAGCGGTTGTTCCCTCGGAGGCCTTCACCTTCTCCTCATCTGCCTTCCCATCGATTTCGGAGATCTCGGCAATTGTGATTGGTTGGGTACGGAAACGGGAGAGCCGAGCACCACTGCGAGCACCACTTCGTCGGGGAGTTCTGGAGCGCTTCTCGAAGTGCACAATACTATCGGTACTTAATGTGATGTGAGGGAAGGTCTCCAACTCACCCGGAGATGGAGCTGGTTGAGTGGGGTTGAGTAGTTCAATGTGCAGTAGGGGACACTCGTTGATACTCATAGCTGTGCTGATCTGCTGTCAAGGAGAAGGTCAGGCAGCAAATAAAGTCAAGAAAGAGAAGAGGACTGTCGTCTAGAAAATGAGAGATTATAACTGGTAACCCTTCATGCCACATATACTCAATGAAGTGGACATTTCTTACGCTAAGGAGATGGTTTTAGATGTTTGACGCTCTCAAAGGAGCCGGATGTGGATAAACTTTGAAGCGCTTAAAACATGACGGCCTCTTGGGAGGGATCAAGTTGCCACAGCAGCAAGCCCTATGTACTTCTGCCAAAAGTGCCGAATCCAGCAACATTTTTTGTCTTTCATTTTGTTGTCTGCATAAGAAAAAGATGAACCCTGACATCTATCGTTTCAACTAAAACAGTGACATTTTCGAGGGTCTTTTCAGCCCGTTGGAAGTGTGAGGGGAAACACTCCGCGGGGTGTGAAACACGAGGCACAAATGGACCTCTTAGGAGACAACGCCTTCTAGGGAGGGAGAGAAGAATGCGCATTCCCGTTCTGAACAAACTAGAATTTGGACACTGGCATCATCTAGCCGCAAGTTACCACAGCAACTTCTGCCGTCTGGTTTAAAGGCCAAAAAATTAGTACTCTTGAATGAGTTTTACTACTAAAGGATTAGTTACTTTTCTTCGGTTAACTAAGAAGCCAAAAAAGTCGGTATTAGAAGTACGAAAATGTATTGGACTTTTATTTTCCTAAGTTCTACCCATTTTTTCAAGTGTGTTTTGAAAAGCAATATGCAAATTTACAGGTAATCTAGTGCATTGCACTGTGCAAATCGGCTCAAATACTAACAAAAACGGACGTTAGACAACAAAAACCTAGCAAAACAGCTAAAAATGGTATTTTTTTTCATAAATGCGCAATATTTACTCAAAGAAATTCATAGGTGTGCATCATATCTCCCTAACGCATGTTAGTAGGCAAATTAAATTTCTAAGGATTCCCCCACTTGAAATAACTTATTATTTTGGCAAAACGTTGAGAACTACGTTGGTTTATGACAAACTACCCAGAGTTGTTTTAAATCACCCCAGTAAACACCTCGAACTTGACGAAGCAGTATACTCGTATCGTTAAACAACCGACCGTTTTGTTAGAGAGACAGGAAAATTTCCCTTCTTGGATACAAAATTACGTATTAGAAGAAGATGTCAGCCATTGCAGCACATTTTGCCATTAAAAACATTTTCCATAAGCATCCTAGGATTGATATCGCCATAATGAATTTAAGGGTCAATCTGGAGTGAATTGGATTTCTAAACCCTAAGCAATTATTGTAAGGAAGGATCGTCTTTAGAGTGCACAGAGGGGTCATATATGAAAAGTTTGAATTTTCTAAATATACATGCTCTTGCAAAGCACTTAAAATGTTTTACCAAATGCTTTTATTAGGATAAATGACAAAAACAGTCGATGCCCATGAAAATTTCTTCTGGTCTTTTTTATCCATTGGTATATCCAGACGGACACATTCCCCTCTTCTAACGGCATCAATCTATTTTATTATTTTAAAAGTCACATAAAATCAGGCAATGGAATCAGAGGCAGGAAGAAGGCTACTTTGGTGAGTTTGTATAAGAAAATAAAATTAAAGTCTGTGGTTTTTTCCTATAAGCCACTTACTAATGAAAAGGATCTCTCTTAAAAACAAATGATAAGTTACCGGGGGCTAGATATTCAGACTCACTTTCCTTTTTAAAACAGTCCTCTTTCTCTAAGGTCGGAAAAAATTGGATTGCTAAGAGCTGAATTTTGGAGAAAGCAAAGCCTACGCATCAACCAATCGCAGCGTGCCATCAACTTTACATTGGCACCCAAAATTTTGATTGGCTGGTATGGGCGCACCAACATTTGCATGTCGCGGGGCGGATTTCAGTATCTGGACTCCCCCATCGAGAGAGAGAGAGGAGGG